TGGAATTTGATCACTTTGAAAACTTGGTTGAAATGGTTACAATTCCAATGCCAACAATCTTCCATTTTTTTCCAGGTTTGTAAGTAGATTATGAATAAGACAAGTATCGTACTGGTAGCTTTGGTCAGTATTTTGAAGATAAAAGTGAACGAGGCTTCTCAGTGCGTTGCAAGGCAATCAGAAAGCAATGTCTTCTTGTACGGATCGCTGATCGAATCGTTCAAGGTGGACACTCTTTCAACGTGTACCTCGAGATGCAAGCAGAATAAGGTTTGTTCAAGCATCAATATGAACCTGATGAACATGAAGTGTGATCTAAACTACTCTACGAAGAAAAGATTACCAAAGAACATGGCCAGTCAACCAAGTATGGTCTACATGGAGATACGGGATGATAACGCTACTCCAGGTACTAGGCAAGATATACCAACCACATCTTGTAAGAAGCTCAAAGCGGATGACAGCCTGTCAAAGTCAGGTGTTTACTGGATGAAGTTGAATGAGCCATCCTCTGCGCCATTCCAGGTGTTCTGTGACATGACCACCGATGGAGGAGGCTGGACCCTCGTCTATAGTTATACATTCACTCGGTACAGTTCCTTTAGGACACCTGCGAACGCAGTCACACCAATACCAAACTGGCCTGTTAATCGGTCCCCTAGTGGTTCGGTGCCTCAGTCTACGAAAACCCCGCTCAGCGAGTCTTCTCGTTCGGCTATGGATTTTTCTCTGTGGAAGAAGATTGGTAAAGAGTTTCTCATCAAGTCCAATATATCAAACTGGGTAGCCTGTGTAGAAGGAACCGGAAATTTTGTGAACTGGGTAGCAGGAAGTCTGACCTGTAGAGTTGTCAAGGCAATTACTTTACCTTGCACAACTATCGCCCCAAACACACTTGGTTTTGGTGGCTGTGGACCAATTCTCAAGAAGGATGATAAATTGCAATACTTTTTTGAAGGACGAACCGACCTTTGCTGGCCTGTCCATGATCCCTGTGGTACTAGCCCCTCTTCATCCAATCACAAGACGAATGTTGCTAACCCTGGTGGAGCGGTGTATATCCGATAAATCCTTAGGACCAAAAGCCGTCATGCCAGCGATGATGTACCAGTGTCTTCCTTTTGACCAGTCATTACCTATCTTTCAACTCGTCTATTTTGGGACCGACCAGCACTGCCAATATCACCGAACGTTCTTTGTTCCATTCATGTATGAATGTCAG